TCTGGTTAGCAGGCAAGTGTCTTAGCCACTATGCTACTACCATATGGCCCAACAATTCCACTACTAGGTATATATTCCAAAGGACTTGAAAGCAAAAACTTAAAAAGAGACTTGTATGCCAATGTTCCTTGCAGCACTATTAACAGTGACCAAAAGGTGGAAACAACCTAAATGCTCATCAACAGATGAATGGATAACAAAATGTGGTACAATGGGATACCACTCAGCCAATAGAAGAAATGAAATCTTGATACATGCTACAGTGTGGATGGAGCTTGAAGACATTCTGCTGAGTGAACTAAGCCAGTCATAAAAGGACAAATATAGGATGACTTCACTTATATAAAAAGAAAAGGCAAATGGATAGGGACCAAAGTATGTTAATAGTTACCAGGAGCAGGAAGGAGAGGAAAAAGGGGGGTTAACAGCGATGAAAAATTGCATTGATTATGGGTAAGGTTGCACACCCAATTATGATCATTGCTGTCAATAAGTTGTATGCATGTAAAAAGTTAAGTGGCAAAAGTTGTGTAATAGGTATATTTACAACAACAATGAAAGAACTGCTGCTGAGGCTGCTGATGTACAACCAAGCACCTCATGGGATTTGGTTCCTTGGTTTGAAGGTTTAGGGTCATGGTTTCATGGGAGATCCCAGTTAATTGGCCTATAACATATTTAGTGCTTCTGTTCTACCTCCTCGTTTGTTGCATAGTGCCTGGGACCTTAAAAGTTTACAAGAATTTATCTAAGGCACAATGATCGGTCTCCATTTGCCTGAAGTAAGAGAAGACAAAGGAGAGTCGTGAATAGGAAGAGAGGATGGGATGTATGCTTGATTGTGTCTGGGAACAACTGCCTCATTTGCCATGAGACCAGGAGACTGTTGCTGAATGTTTGGATCAAAGATTCCACAAAAGAACACTGATCAAAAGAGGGGAAATGCAGAAGAGAATCTCACATTCTATTCTGGACTTTCGACTTTCTGGAATCATGAAAGGTCAATGAACCCCTGAAATTATTGCCATGAGATAATCTTTAACCCTTAAACCAAAAAAATCCCCTGAAGTCATCTTAAAACCAAACTATAGTTCAGCTTCCCTAGTAAAAAATGTCTGCCTTGAGAATTATACTCACTTCAGAACTATCTGTATGTGATCAAATTGACACCAGCAACTAGAAAGATTAGATAGGAACCTTAGAGGACAGTGAGTTTATGTGAATGGGCAGGAGCAACTCAGAAAGGAGGGTGAGGATGGTTGCCCAACTCAGAGAATGTCATCAATGTCATTGAATTGTAGAAACAGCCAAACTGGTGTGTGATTCTGCCGTGTGTCTTCTCAACAACAACAGTGAAATAAACCAAATTTAGAGAAAAAATTATTTAATGACATATTTGCATAATGGCAGGCAGCAAGAGGGAAACCTCTCAGTGGGGAGAGGGGAGGTTCCAAACTAGGAGACTTCTCTCCCCATGTGATTGCGATGATAAAAGAGGTTTATCCTGTGGAGACCACCAGCTGTCAGTTTGTTGTGTTGTGATGGTTTCCATGTTACTGTGATGCTGAAAAGTACGTCACCAGTATTTCAATGCCAGCAGCATCACCTGTGGTGGACAAGTGTCAGTGGAGCTTCCAGATTAAAACTAAGAAGAAAGGCCTGGTGGCGGACTTCACAATACTGAAAACCCTACTAACAACAATAGAACACTGACCAGCTTGCTTGCTTTGGACATGTCATCAGGAAGGACTAAATGCTGGAGGAAGACATCGTACTTGGTGAAGTAGAGGGCCACTGAGGCTAGGAAGACCCTTGGTGAGATGGGTTGGCACAATTGCCACAGCAATGGACTTGAACGTGGAGTGATCATGAAGATGATGCAGGACCAGGAAAAGTTGTTCTGTTATATACAAGGTTGCCATGACAACTTGACAGCAGCTCTCTCTCTCTCTCTCTCTCTCTCTCATCTATCCATCTATGTATCCATCCATCTATCTGTCTGTCTATCATCTATCATCTCTGTTTGAAAAAACCTATAAATAGTAAAGCACCATATGAAATGTATGTTCATTTCATCATTAGCATATTTGCCTCTCTAGAGAAGTGATTCAAATTTATCTTTTGACTTCATAGGAATTAGTTACATCTATACATGAAAAAAGGAGCTCTGGTAGCATAGTGCCTAAGGCACTTGACTGCTAACCAGGAGGCTGGCGGTTCAAACCCACCAGCCACTCCTCGGAAGGAAGGTTGGGAAATCCTAGTTCCATAGTGATAACTGCCTTGGAAACCCAAGGAGGGGTCGCTAGGAGTCAGGGCCGACTTGATGGCAAATAACAAAATAACAACAATAATACATGAAAAGAATCCCCGGATGGTGCAAATGGTTAGATACTTAACTACTAGCTGAAAGTTTGGTGGTTCAAACCCACCCAAAGGGGCCTTGTAAGACTGGCCTGGTGATCTGCTTCTGACAGGTCATAGCCTTGAAAACTCTATGGAGCACGCTTCTACTCTGCACACATGGGGTGTCCACGAGTCAGAATTCACTTGATGACAACTCACAGCAAGAAAAAACGTGAAAATGTTTCTGTTTTTACTTGTGTGATTTTTATTTGAAGGCATTTATTGGCAATGAAAATCCCAGAATTACTTTATCATCCCAGGAAGAGTTCTGATCCTTGCCATCACTGGTGCCACTCAACACTCATGCTCACGTCTGTGGTCTAGAGGTGGAAGTAGACTGGAGGGTGTTTTTCTAGCACCAGCTCTACACGTTGTGGTTGTTAGATGCTGTCAAGTTGGCCCCCAGCTCATGGCAGCCCATACACAATGGAATGAAGCTCGGCAGTCCTCCTTCACCCCCATGGTTGGTTGTACATCAGACCACTGTGATCCACAAAGCTTTCACGGACCAACTTTCTCAACAATAGATTGTCAGACCTTTTATTGCTAGACTGTCTTAGTCTGGAATTGCCACTGAAACCTGTTCAAAATCATAGCAACATGTGAGCCTCCACAGATGGACAGGTGGTGGCTGCACGTGAGATGCACTGACCGGGAATTGAATGCATGGTCTTATGCATGGAAGACCAGAGTTCTACCACTGTGCCATCATTGTTCTCCACAAAGGAAACAGGAAACTGCCACAATGTCTGATTTCTGTGGCACGGGAAAGGATCCCAAGCCCTTATTCCTATACCTGCCCTACCTGCCTGGTGATACAAAGTTGAGTTAAGACATTCCCAAATGCTATCCTCTCTCTAGCCCCTCTATAGCCAAGGAATCACATCCCAGTCTACTTACCTGGTGATTCATCCTCTCTTTTCTACCCCTACCTCCCCTGTCCAGTGCACTGTATGCTCTCCTTTCTTATCTCCTGTTCTGGTTTCCTAGTGCTGCTCTGACAGGAATATATCACAAATGGGATGCTTGAACAAACAGGAGTTTATTCTCTTACAGTTTGGAAGCTTTAAGTCCAAATTCAAAGTGCCAGCTCTAGGGGCTGGGTGAAAGCCCCTCAACCTTGGACTTCAGCTTTGCCTCCTGCTCCCAGCCCACTGAAGCTGAAGGCATTTCTTCACTCAGACAGCTGCTGGCTGCTGAGGCTGACAAGCCCAAGGCTAGCAAGTGAAAAGGCACAGTCCCGATGTTACCAAACCACACAGCAGGCCATTGATTCAAGTCCATTGAAAGTCCCAAGGTCGGCAGAGCATGGCAGGCTGCTGAACAACTACATGCAGAGTTCAAGCATGCCATATACTAGAGACCATTCCCAAAGCTGCTGCTTATATACAGGAAGTAGAACACATCCCTAAAGCAGCTACTCAGCTGCTTGTGGTACATCCCACCATGGAGTTGATTACCAGTCTCATCATGGGGAATAACCATCACAAGCTGCCCAGCCACTCAACCAGGCCTAGCAAAGTTGACACACAATTTTAACTACCACATCTGGACTATCATAGTCACCTCTCACTCCTTTAAGTCAGCCTCCATCTAGCCCCCACTGTGTTCTTCCTAAAATGAATATGTAACTGCATCTAATTCTCACCTACAACCTTTAATGGCTCTTTTGCTTCTAGGATAAGCTCCAGGTTCTTTGACATGAGCAACTCTGTCTTCCATATGACATCTGCCATCATTTTCTTCCTCACCCGAATAATCTGGCTGTACCAATCCAAACCATCGAACTTCTCACAGCTCTGCACCTTTGCACATTTTCTCTCTGTGTGGAGTGCCCTCCTATCTCACATCTGTCTGAAGACTTCCATTCATCCTTCAAAATCAAGTTTAACATCACCACCTCTAGGAAGACTTTCCTGACGACGCTGCTTCCCCCCATCTCCCCAAGTTAATCTTTCTCTCCTCTGAACCTTAAACTGCTGTCACAAAGTATTGTGACTTATTTGACTGCATGTTGTCTTCCCCACAAGATTACAAGTTCAATGAAGGCAGGACCCCTCTCTTATTTACCTTCCTACCCTCAGGATCTAACACTCAATAAATGATAGTGCATTCTGGCAAACAATCTTGGGAGAAGGAACTCAGAAACCACACATCCGTACTCTGTTGTACCTCACTGATGTCTTAGGCTATCGCGACGGGATGGGTGGAGAAAGACTCTGATACCCTCTGAAGCTAAAAGTGTGGAGCTGAAGTAGGAGGGGGAAGAAAGTATTGAGAGAGAGACACAGAGACAGGGAAGAGACAGAAGAGAAAGTTGGCAGGAGGCAGAGAAATGGTAAGAGAAGGGTGCCTGAGGATCAAGTTTCACCTCTAATTCTCCCGAGACTCAGGGATAATGTTGGGGGCTTGTGTCTGCTTGTTGAACTGTCAGTGTGACTTCCCAGAATGATGACTCAAACTGGTGACTATGTTCCTGTCTGGGGTTTGAAGGGTAAGGAGAGGACTTGGAAGAGATTCAGGGCCACTTAGTAAAATTGGGCCAAGAAGTGTCCATTCTCCTTCCTTCATCTTGGCAGTGATACCATTGAAAAATGGTTCCCCTGCCACTGAATAGCCAGGGGAAAATGAAGCGTATTTATAACCTTTCATGTCCACTTTAATTGTTTTCTATAAACTATGTCTTTTAGAAATGAACTATCAATCTTGCCCGAACTGGAAGACAGACTGCAGAAGCAACCCTGTTTCTGTATTCTGGAATACAGTTTCCAAGAAGGTAAGTGCCAAGCAGTAAACTTCTAGAATGTTGGAGACCAAAGAGCTTACGAGGTCCTCCAGTCCAGTGGTGGGGTCTTCACTGTTTTGGGGTCACAGATCCTTTTAGGAATGAAAGTTTAGGATCCTTTACTGAGGAAAATATTCATAGTACATACCAGAAGATTTCACATATAATTTCACTGTGTTCATGAAGGGTCCATGGACACCAGTTGAAGAGCTTCTGCTCTTAGGAACTCTTTGATGTAGGCCGCCAGAAGCTGCAGGCCTGGTTTAACCCTCTCACCCAGGAGTAATCAGCCAATCATAGGTGCCTGGGAAAGTCTTAAGAATTTAAACCTATGAACATGGACTAGGTACCCAGCATAGTATTCAGCTCTGCACATGGATTGACACATTTCATCCTCACAGGAACCTTGATTATCACACTAATTTCATGGATGACAAAATGAAGGTGCAGGTGAAAAAGCAATCTACTAAATGTACATGGTTGTCAAGGATTTCATTTTACTTGGATCCACAAATTGAGAAATCAAATGATGCATTGCACTGGGCAAATCTTCTGCACAAGATCTCTTTAAAGTATTAAAAAGCAAAGATGTCACTTTGAAGACTAAGATATACCTGATCCAAGCCATGGTGTTTTCAGTAAGCTCTTAGGCATGTGAAAGCTGGATGATGAATAAGAAAGACTGAAGAAGAATTAATGCCTTCAAATGATGGTGTTGGTGAAGAATATTGAATATACCATGGACTACCAGGAATGAACAAATCTGTCTTGGAAGAAGTAGAGTCGGAATGTTCCTTAAAAGTGAGACTTCATCTCACATACTTTGGAAAAGTTGTCAGGAAGGGTAGTCCCTGGAGAAGGACACTATACTTGGTTGAGGGTCAGTCAAAATGAGGAAGACCCTCAGTGAGATGGATTGACACAAAGGCTGCAACAATGGGTTCAAACATAGCAATGACTGTAAAGATAGTGCAGGACCAGGCAATGTTTTGTTCTGTCGTGCATAGGGTGGCTGTGAGTCAGAATTGAGTCAACAGCACCTAACAATAACAATAACAACAACAACAACAATACAGGTTTTCTGTTTGTTTGTTCTTTACAGGAAAAGTTTCTATTTATTTTATCATTTATGATAGTTTTAGGACACTCCTGTTGTCAAAAACTTGTAAAATTGAGTCACATTTATAAGAGTCCCTGGGTGGTTCGAATGGTTAAGAGCTCAGCTACTAATTGAAAGGTTGGTGGTTTGAATCCACCCAGAGTTGCCTTGGAAGAAAGGCCTGGTGATCTACCTCCTTGAAAACCTATGCAGCACAGTTCTATTCTGAAACACATGAAGGCATTATAATTCAGAATTGATTCAACAGCAACCAACTTTTTTTAAGTGCTCACTTTGACCTTGTAAAGAAGCTCTGGTTGTGTAGTGCCTAAGGTATTTGACTGCTAACCAGAAGTTTGGTGGTTCAAACCTACCAGCCACTCCGCAGAAGGAAGATGGGCGATCTACTTCCATAGAGAGACTGCCTAGGAAACCCAAAGAGGTTCTCTATGAGTCGGAAATTGACTTGATGGCAGTGAGTTTGGTGTTTTTTTTTTTTACGTTTTTTCTAGGAGTACAACGGTGAAGGTGATGGAAGCCTCTGTGCCCTTATGATGCACTTAGGGACCTGCACTATCTTTGTCAAATGCTCAGGCAGACAAGACCCTTTTATCTTAGGAAAACAGGAGCTCTGGTGGCATAGTGCCTAAGGCATTTGACTCCTGTTCAAACCCCCCAGCCACTCCTCAGAAGGAAGATTGGGCAATCTACTTCTGTAGAGACACCACCTCAGAAGCTCAAGGAGGCATTGCTATGAGTTGAGTCGACTCAATGGCAGTGAGTTTAGTTTTTTGTTTTGTTTTGTTTTTAGATGCTGCCTGGTGGTTTGAATCCCCACTTCACCTTCCCATTTTCAATTGAAGGCATCCTTTGGGCTCTTCCAAGAGTTAAGCATCTCAGGCTCCATGCTTAGAGCCCTGTAAGCCCCATGGAGTCAGAACTTGTGATTATAGTAGCAGCTGGATCTCTGCCCTCTGTTTATCACTCCTCAGTGGAAAGCCAGGACAGCACTGGATGTTCACAACTCACTGTGTCCCACTTTCCAAGGGAAAGCCTGAGAATTAAGTCCAGGCTCCTTGGCAGGGAGTTACGCTTCTCCATCAACTCACTTATCTATCCAGCTTCAGCATCCTCTGACAGTTCCCCAAAGACATCATTGTTCTCGCAAACTGGCAGCTTTCCACTGGCAGCTGCCTTTGCCTGGTGAGCTCCTTTGAGATGTGGCTTGTGAGACCCTCCGTTATATGTTTTCTGGTTCTTTCCTCATCACCGTCATGGTGGATTGGACTTCCTGCTCACTCTTCCTTTCCCTGCTTCCCACACAGTGCCATGCCCCAGCTGGCAGGCACCAGGCACCACGAAGGCCAGGTTCTCTGTGTCTGTGGCTAAACCCACATTAAGCTGGTTGGTACAGCGTGCTGTAGTTGAGTGGTGAGAAGATGCTGTCAGAGCTCAGGGAAGGGGACCTAAATTAATCTTGGGTCTGGGAAGTCCTTCTGGAGGAAACATATGGAATCACTTTGTCATTTTCATTTTTTCCTCCCCCCCAAAACAAAACCAAACCTATTGTCAACAAGTTGACTTTGACTCATGGTGACCCCAGGTGTTACCGAGTAGAACTGTTCTATAGGGTTTTTGTGGCTGTCATCTTTACACAAGCAACTTGCCAGACCTTTCTTTGGCAGCCCTATTGGGAAGGTTTGAACACATGACCTTTAGGATAGTCATCAAGCACAACCTGTTTGTGCCACTTCAAGACTTTGTTTTCCCCAGTGCCTAGTTAGTGCCCAGCAAATATTCCAGCTGGATGTTTGCTGCCAGACAAATGAAACCCCTTGCCCAGTAACATTCATTCATTCATTCATTCATCCATTTCCCTTTCTCTTTGTGTCTGTCTGGGCCTCAGTGTTACCTGCTCTCTCCTCAGTTTCCCCTTTCATGATGTTGCTTTCTCCCTTCCCTCTGAATCAGCCACCCTGTACCCACTAAATGAAATGCAGTGTTTACAGGGCACCACCCAAGTAAGCTCTTCCCTCTCTTCCAGCTGCGTTCCTCCCACTCACCTGGGCTTCTGACATCTGAACCGCCGACCATGACAACTCCTTGAACAATGACTTTGAACCTCATTGTTCAAGCCACTTGCAGCTTGGGACAATGGCTACAGGGAATCTGATGGGAAGCATCATCTTTCCAATGGCTTGGAATGAAACATATGCAGAGCTGGGATTCCTGTGCCAATACCTCCGGGATATTCCCTCTGCAGGCAATGAATGCTGAGAGCTGTTGTAGAGGGAACTGGTCGGGCGTGGTGATTAAGTTTGCATGCTGAGGAATGGTGGGCTTCTTTTTTTTTTTTTTAAGTTTGCAGAAGCTGCCTGTGGTGTGGTCCATGTGATGCTCAACGGGTCCATCAGTAAAGCCTTTGACCAAAACAGGTATTCGTTTCTTTGCATCCTATTTGCAAGGGTTGCCACAGCCGCCTGTTGAATATTTCATCCCTAGAAGAATAAGCTCTTCAAATTTCAGTTCTGTCCTGAAGATCTGGGCTGAAAAAAGGTACCATCTCTGTATTCTACGGGGCACGTGTCTTTCTCTGCCTGGTTCCTCCTTCACCCCAGATCCTCGAATGGTCCCCAGGTCATTGCACTGTGTCCAGCCTGTGCCCTTGGCTTTTCGAGGCCTGGTGGAATTGCCTCAGCTTCCTCTCACAGTACACTCCACCTGCCCAGGCCCTGGTTTTATTCACACTGTACTCCACCTCCACCCACCATATGATGCACGTGTCCCCTTCCCTCTGCCTGTCTGACTCCTCACCATCCTTGATGGTCTGGCTGGATTTCTCTCTCCTTTATGAAGTGTTTGAAGCCTGTGATTGAGCACATCAGGGGCTGTGCTGGACTCTTTCTTGTCCTCCAATGATCTCTTTAAAAAAAAAATTTTTTTTTTCAATTTCCAATGATTTCATCACTGACGCTACCAGCAATCTATTGTAGTTAGCAGCAGGGACTTTGAAAGCCATTATTTGTCACCTACATGGCCTTGTAGGAGCCCCAGTTGCACAATGGTTCAGCACCCAGCTACTAACCCAAAGGTTGGTGTTGGAGGCCGCCCACGGCTCTGAGGGAGAGAGAACTGGTGACCTGAACTGGTGGGGATTCCTGCCTAGAAAATCCTACAGCGTAGTTCTGCTCTGTCGCATGAAGTCACTGTGAGTTGAAAATCAATCTGAGGGCACCTAGTGGCAAACAACAAGGAGCTCTGGTGGTGTAATGGTTAACCATTTGGCTGCCAACCAGAAGGACAGTGCTTCAGACCCACCAGCCTCTCGGCAGAAGAAAGATGGCGTGCTCTGCTTCCGTTAAGATTTATGGCCTTGGAAACCCAATGGGGGTTGCTATGAGTTGGAATGAACTAGATGGCAGTGAGGTTTTTTTGTTTTTTTGGGTTTTTTTTGAATAACATGTGACTTTAGGAGTTCATGGGTGATACAAACGGTTAAGCACTTGACTGTTAACCCAAAGGTTGTGGTTCGGACTCAGCCTGAGGCACCTCATAAGGAAGGCCTGGTGATCTGCTTCCATGGCATCACGGCTTTGGAACATCCATGGAGCACAGCTCTGCTCTGTGACACAGAGGGGTCACCATCGGTTGGAATCGACTCGATGGCAACTGGTTTGGTCTTGGGGTTGTGCCACCTAATCCCGTGAGCCCTTGAGGTATGTGCTTGACAAGGTGGTGGTATGTAAAGGTTTGCCGAGATACTGTGTGAACAATGCCATGCACTGTGCTGACAACAGAGAAAGTTCTTGATGAGTGTTGGCTATCATCATCTCGGCGAATCCTCCCCCGAGTCCCACCACACCAAAGCCATCCTTTTCTGACCTCCTTCTACACTTAGCGTTTTCCCACCTTGGTTACCTTTCCACTCCCTGGTGACTCTCCAGTCATTCCCTGGTGAAGGCTGGTTTGGGCAAGGGAGCAGATACACGTTTGCCTTGGGTGCTCTGTTGCTGTTGTTAGTTGCTATCCAGCCAGTTCCAACCCAGGTCCCCATGAGCACAGAGGAGAACTCCATAGGGTTTCCAAGACTGTGACCTTTTGAAAGCAAATCGCCAGGCCCGTCTTGTGAGGCATTTCTGGGTGGGTTTGAACCACCAACCTTTTGGTTAGTAGTGCCTGACTGTTTATGCGACCTAGGGACTTGTTCCCTAGTGCCACTCTGACAAGAATATACGACAAATGGGGTGGCCTTAACAAACAGGAGTTTATTCTCTTACAATTTGGAGGCTTTAAGTCCAATTTCAAAGTGCTAGCCTCCGGGGGCTGTGTGAAAGCCCCTCGACCTTGGGCTTCAGCTCTGCCTGTTACTCCCGGCCCACTGAAGCTAGAGGTGTTTTTTCACTCAGACAGCTACTGGCTGCTGAGGGTAACAAGCCCAAGTAAACAAATAAAATGGTACAGTCGCGATGTTACCAAACCAAATGGCAGGCCATTCATTCAAGTCCATTGTAAGTCCCAAGGTCGGCAGAGCATGGCAGGCTCCTGAACAACGACACAGCTACATGCAGGGTCCAAGCATGCCATAGGCTAGAGACCATTCTCAAAGTTTCTCCTTATATACAGGAAGCAGACCACATCCCAAAGGCAGCTACTTAGCCATTTGTGGTAGATCCCACCATGGAGTTGATTGTTAGTCTCATCACAGGGAATAACTACCACCAGCTGCCCAGCCACGTAACCAGGCCCAGCCAAGTTGACACACAAACTTAACCACGACAGGACTCAAAATGAATTTTCCTGTCCTCTGGTTTAGTATTTAATTCCAAAAAGAAGTGGTTGCCTTTCTGTCTTCTGCTGCCCAATCTTGAGGGCTTTTGGGTAAAACAGTTAATATTCCAGAATTTTAGATTCTGAAATTAGTGACCTATGCATTTCCAACTATCAGAGAAGTAGTAGCTCTCGGAGACTCACAGGGAAAGGTTTGAGGTTGGCACTTGGGTTGGACATGGAGGAGGTCGGAGGTCCTTTAAAGGGCTAGTGCTGCTTACACTTTACTGAGCAGGTGAATCTCGGGGACTGTTCAAGTGCAGATGCTGATTCCGCAGGTGGTGATGGGGCTGAGATCCTGCAGTTCTCACTCACTCCTGGAGTCCCTGGGGGTGCAAACAGCTAGCACACTTGGCAGCTCATTCAAGTCTGCCAGAGGTCCCTCGGAAGGAAGGCCTGGTGATCTACTTCCGTAAAATCAGCCATTGCAAACCCTGTGGATCACAATTCTACTCTGACACGCATGGGGACACTATGTGCTGGCGTCCACTCCATGGCAGCTGATTTAACCAGCAACTGTTAGTATGCTGGTCCACTGACCATACTTTAAATGACAAGTATTTAATGACTCAGTGTCAATGTCTATATGAAGAATCTTTTCTTCCTGTTGGCCTCCACCAAGGGTCACACTGAATGAGCAAAGAAAGCCGTTTCTCATGCAAATCCTGGGTCAGTTCAAAGCCTGGTTCTTATACTGGCCTCCTAACTGCTGCATTCTGACAGCTGCTCGGGCTGCACGGATGCTTTAGCTTGGGGTTGACGGTGTTCTTTGTCTCTTCTATCTTAGCGTTTTTGGAAGTGTGGAAATCCTTAATTTACATCCAGCAAGAGTTCATTCACTGCAGGCCTGGGTGATGCATGACATCGGAGGAGTTTCCAGGTATATTTCACTGCTTCGCGCCCATACACCCTCAGGGTTGTCTTATGATCTGTGGAGGAATGAATCCACAGTCACAGGAACACACTGAGAACAGACTTGGGAAATTAAAGGGACCTTGCTCCACAATGAAGGAACCCCTTGAGGCCAAGTTGTGTCAAAGAGCAAACTGAGGTCTCTTAATATTAAGCCGAGAGTTTTACTGAAGGCTTACAGTCTGGAGCAGACAGCACTTCATGGGGATTCACAAGGCCCTCCCACCAGAGGAATTTTTCACAGAGTTTAAGTACAGAATATCCAGGAATTTACAAGTAAAACATTCTGACTGGTTGCAATTTATAAAATCTTGCTTCATACAGACACCAGGCAATTCCAAGATGGCATGCACATTGTTTTGCTAATCATAAAGTTTGAGTCAAAGTCCTGTTAATCTATGCGTATCTCAGGGGCCAGCCTTGGTGGATATCCTTCCTGGGAGCATCAGTGGGAGGAAAGGGGAGGAGGAGAGTCCGCAGACCTCCTGAAGTGTGTGGCTAGCTGACTTTTGAAGGTCAGCTCAGGTTAGCAGTACACAGCAAAAAGGGAGCCCAGCCTGCAGCTTTGGCAGAAGCTTCTCCTTACGCCATGCACCTAGAGTTTTTTAGAGCTCCTTCACCGTTGTTAAGTGTTTAGCTACTGACTGAAAGGTTGGTGGTTTGAATCCACCCATGGATGTCTTGGAAAAAGGCCTACTGCTCTGCTTCTAAAAGACCACAACCATTGGAAACCCTATGGAGCCAAGGTCTACTGCACACACATGGGGCCCATGAGCTGCAATCAACTCAATGGCAGCTGGTTTTACTCTATATTTACCCAATCTCCATGGCCTCTTCATATTTAGGAATCTGCACGCAATGGCGGTTCAGAGGTAGAATTCTCGCCTTGCCTATGGGAGACTCTGAGGTGATTCCTGGAAAATGTACCTCAAACACAGTGGGGGCTTGTACTGTCATTGTTTCCGGGGTCCCTGAGACCCTGGGCAGGGCCCTTGCCTTCTACTGACAAAGAATTGCACAGGAGAGCCAAAATGTCCACGTGAATCAACGTTTATTCGAGAGAAGAGGGGAGGGGCTCATGAGGGAGAGTTGGAGAGGGGCTTTCACAAACTTAGCCTCTGGTCTCTACCCAAACAAAAGGATTCCTAAGGTGAATAAGGGAGCTCTGGTAGCATAGTGCCTAAGGCACTTGACTGCTAACTAGGAGGCTGGCACGGTTCAAACCCACCAGCCACTCCTTGGAAAGAAGGTTGGGCAGTCTACTTCCATAGTGATACTGACTTGGAAACCCAAGGAGGGATCACTATGAGTCGGGTCTAACTCAGTGGCACATAACAACAACAACAACAACAACAAGGTTAATAAGGGGCTTTTGGCAGGAAAGAGGCATCATCTTTATTCATGAATTGGGTGGGGTTCTGAGGTTCAAGTTACGCATGTGTGATGTCTCTGGATCACAGTCAGAGCCTCAGTGAGAGATTCTTGTTCTTGCCTGCCTCTGATGGAAGTCATTTTGTTGGTCATGTTGACCTTTACTGCCCATGCGATGCACCTGGTGGGCGCTAATAAATGAAACACTTAAAAAACCAACCCAGGGGGTTATCAGCATTTTATAACTGGTCACGCTTACAAAAAACAAACTCTTTGCCGTGGAGTCGATCTCCACTCATAGTGACCCCTCCTTGGGTTTCCAAGGTGGTATCTCTACAGAAGTAGATCGCCCAATCTTCCTTCCGAGGAGTGGCTGGTGGGTTTGAACCGCCAGCCTCTGGTTAGCAGTCAGATGCCTTAGACTCTATGCCACCAGAGCTCCCAGAAAGTCACGTCTTTTAATTTGTGACCTCTTTATCTCGCCGAAGCACTTGGCTTACCAAGTGTAATCGGTTCTCTGATGCCAGCACCCAGAATTATGTGGTGGTAGGTTTAAATTTCAAGGGCATTGAGTCAGGGGCCTGTCTGACCAGCCAGCTCAATTCCCTGCCTGTCTCACTATGATGCTGAACAGATTTCAGCGGAGCTTCCAGACTAAGACAGACTGGGAAGAAAGGCCTGGTGATCTAATCCGAAAATCAGCCAGTGAAAACCCCCTGAATCTCAAAGGTCCATCCTGCGTGCATGAGGTCGCCATGAGCTGAGGGCAGAGTCCACAGCCAGGCTGTGAGCTCGTAGACATGGCCCTCTGCGTCTCTTTCCCCCAGGGCCTGGGTCATGACGTTCTACATAGAAGAGACTTGGGATGTTTGTGAGATCTTGTTATTTCATACTTTCTTCTTTCTTTCCCAGAGACTCATGCTCGGGTTCTTCCATAAGTGACCTGAGATCCATTCTGAGCAAAAAGAATATTATGTTTACCTGCCAGGATGACTACAGGTAAGTGATTTCTTCTTGAAGAAGAAATGAGTGTTTTGCTGTGGACACACATTTTCCCTTTCCTCTGAGCAAGGAGAGCTGAACAAATCCGTCTGGGGCCTTGTGATCTCCAATGACCTCCTGGTGAGCTCAGGTCTTTGCCACTCACCCTCAGACTAGGCCAAAAGGTCTTTCCATCCTTGTGGGCCTCCCCTGGTCGCCCTTCCCCCATCTTCTCCTCCCTTCCCTGCTGGCTGCCTGGGTACAATCCTGAAGCTGACCCAGCTGTTGAGGGGGTATTGCCTGGTTTCCAGTGTGAGGACTCCTATGTGAAGCTTACAGGCTTGCAAAGCATCATGTTGTTGTGGTTAGGTGCCATCAAGTCATAGCCGACTCATAGTGACCCTGTGCATAACAGAACAAAACACTGCCCAGTCCTGCACCAACCTCACAATCCTTGCTATACCTGAGCCCATTATCGTAGCCACTGTGTCAATCCGTCCCTTTGAGGGTCTTCCCCTTTTTTTGTGACCCTCCACTTTACCAAGCATGATATCCATCTCCAGTGAATGGTCTCTTCTGCAAAGCATGATAGGAGCAAAAACGCATTTTGCCAAGCACTTCCTCAAACCTGGTTGTCAAAACCTCCTAACTTGGCATTACCTTGGTGTTTCAAGCTTCTTTAGTTGGATCTTGGTAAAATGCTATGTAAGAGTCTACTAAGCTTTATTTATTATTATTATTATTGCAAAACTTAACATCTTTTAAAAATTTTACAGGTAATATGTTTATTTGAGAAAAACATTTAAATTAGAGACTTTTTTTTTTTTTTAAGGCACCTATAACTCTGTTTTCAGAACCAAGACCCTTGTAATTAGGGCCACTAAGGTATACAGGGGGAGCTCTGGTAGCATAGTGGCTAAGACACTTGCCTGCTAACCAGACGGCTGGCGGTTCAAACCCACCAGCCACTCCTCGGAAGGAAGGTTGGGCAACCCTACTTCCATAGTGATACTGCCACGGAAACCCAAGGAGGGGTCGCTATGAGTCGGGGCCGACTCGACGGCACACAACAACAACAACAACAACAACAAGGTATACAGGTGAACAAATCTTGAATTGGCAAATACTGTATTATATATAAGGAGCTCTTGTAGCACAGTGCCTAAGACATTTGACCACTAACGAGAAGGTTGGTGGTTCAACTCCACTAGCCACTCCACAGAAGCACTAGGCAATCTACTTCTGTAGAGATTTACCACCTCAAAAACCCAATGAGGGCCGCTATGAGTTGGAATCAACTGGACAGCAGTGGTTTTTTTTTGGCATTATCTATATCTTTACAACAATTTTCTTAAAAGGTAAGTTTCAACCAAGGGGGGGGGGGGGGGGACTGGGACCCCTTACTCATTTTTAAGTAGCTGTGAGCAATGATATAGCCAGGGACTCATTGCTAGAGCATCTTTGAAGATTTTCCCATGAGCTTCAAACAAGCCAGATACAGAGAGAAACTGTCACAGAGAATGTAGATGCTGAAATGCTAGACCATTTTCCCTGTCTCTTGTCACCACCCTGTCCCATCAACCATATCACAGAGACAGCAGGACAGATTCAAGGGACTCTTACTGAGGGCCCTTGTCTCCCAAAGGACCTGAATTTCCCAACAGTCAGCTGGCTCCTACCCAAGGCTTTCCTAGTGGGAGGCTGCGAGAAAATAGCACCAACATTCCACAGCAGTTAGAGGGGGAAAACAGGAAGAACGAAAGCAACCAACCCACCTGTTGCCATGGACCCCGTGTGTGTCTGGGTAGAACTGGGCTCCGTGGCATTTTCAGTGGCTGATCTTTCAGGAGTCGACTTCTAAGCCTGTCTTCTGTGGTGCCTCTGAGTGGAGGTGAACTCTCAACCTTTTGGTTAGCAGATGAGTGCAATCACTCCTTGCCCTACCAGAAAGAACAAAGGAATAGCAACAGAAGAAACCTTGCAGAACTCCACCCAGTGTAAGTTATTCAAAGATATTTTGCATTGAGAAGATGGACTAGAAGGAACTTGGGAGAGCATTGGGGAATAAAGATGAGCCTCATCCCTAACACGTCTGTCTCTCTACTCATACCACGCATCCCCCTTTCTCATCAATGGCCAGCAGCTCGTCATACTGAAACCATCAATTACCCCCAATCATGCCTTCTCCAGGCTTCAGATGACCTCATTCCTTCCCCATCCATGAAGAACATAGAGACACAGCTTCTACCTGGACATAAATAAATGTGGACTCACAGTAGCGCATGTCCACAGAGGGGCCCAAGTAGGAAGCAGGTCTTTTGTAAACTAATACCTGTCATGCAGTGATCAGTTCAGGTGACTTTAAACTTGGACATCTTTCTTGAAATCACTCTTTCTTTTCTCTGACCATGAGGTAAGTTTATTTAGCATGACTCTGAATTAACAGACCCTCAGGACTGTTGTTTCTGAGAGCTCTTAGACCCTGGAGGACAGCTGCTTGTCTTCTGAAGAGCCCAGTGAATATCAAGGTTGCCACATTGATGTTGTTGTTCTTAAATGATGTTGAGTCAGTTCTGACTCATAGCGACCCCATGTACAACAGAACACAATGCTGCTGGGTCTCGCCCCATCCTCCCGATTGTTGCTGCTTTTGAGCCCATTATTGTGGTCACTGTGTCAATCCATCTCATTGAAGGGCTTCCTCTTTTTCATCGGCCATCTCCATTACCCAAGCACGGTGTTCTTCTCCAGGGATTAATGTCTCCTGATCACATGTCCAAAGTAAGTGAGATGAAGTCTTGTCATCCTCGATTCCAAGGAGCATTCTGGCTGTGGTTCTAAGACAGATTTGCTTGTTCTTCTGGCAACCCAGGGTATATTCACTCCTCACCAACACCATGATTCAAATCCCACATACATAGTGTATTTAAATCACACCATTCCAAACATTTCAATTTTAGAGAATTTTCTCCTGCTGCTGTTGACAAAAGTCTAAGCAGCAAACAGAAGTGTAGTTACACTTACATGGATTAGACCGCCCAATGGATACAATATTACTATATAATAAATCTCACCATTCATCTGTGATAAATGATACTACTAACATTTGGTTGTATATTCTTCAAGACATTCTTTTTTTATCTTACACACACATATGCACATGCACACACACAC